CGGATGCTACATAGCGATTTTTAGAACCTCTGCCCTGCCCTGCCGCCTTGAACCTTCTTCGCTCACTTATTTTGAGGTGAGTAAATTTTGGGTATTCCAAAGTGAGGTTGCTAACTTTGGACCCAGCGACAGTTAAACCGGAGTTTTGTGAGACCACACTGCCGGTGGCGGAATCATCAGATTCAGCGGCTTCGGAATTTGAAGACAAGACCTCAATAATTTTCTGCCGCCTTACCTGAGATCATTTGAAGGTGATGCCGTTAGAGTGACACCAAGCTCATTTGAATTATATTCAGAATTGGAAGGTCACCCACGACATAGCCCGTTTATCGTGAGAAGTGTAATTAAAACTGGAGGTCGACAGGTATCCAGAGTTCGCATATTAAAGACCAACTATCCATGGCCATTCATCCCTCGGGATATGCTGTTCCACCTTGGATTTGAGCTTTGATTTAAGACGCTTTTACACGCTACCGTCCGATTACAATTAGCCAGCACCCATAGTAGAGACATGACCATACTATGGACCTGTTTCTAGCCGCCCACGCGTAGAGGATGTAATCACACTACCGATAGTATGCAACAGTTACGGCACATACACAAAGTACGTGTTTATCCCCCTGTGTATCTGACGGCTGACGGCCATTTATAACCATAATTATGATAATAATTATTGCAAAATGTATAAAAGGAAATTTGTGAATGTATATAGTAAATGTATATAATAAATGTTTTATTGTAAAACAGGAATCGCCAAATTCCTTGAGAAATAATATTGTTGTATATGCTAAAAAATCTGATGGCGAAGTAACTGTTGAACATAATAATTTTAAAAATAAGTACAATTATGAATGGTAAAAATAAATACTTACTTAATATATATATAAGTATATAAATAAATATACTTAAATTTAAATGTAAGTTTTTTATAAAACGTTTTAAATATAAAAATGAATTTGAATTTGATAAGCATATTAAGCTTTTATCATACTATAAGAAAGAAATTAGTTAAATTAATAAAAAAAAGTTAATAAAAAAAAAATTTTCATTATTTATGTTGAAGCAAAACTTGTATGTAAATTTAATTATTGCTATATATATATTTTAATAAAGTTATTGATTTGAATTATTAGGGGTCAAGGTTGACGTTGGCCATGCCTGTTTGTTGTGATGTGATTTGCTTCTGGAAGTAAAGTCAATTACTTTGTCATTGCTTTTCTTTAGGGACGGAGATATTATGTGAATCAAGGTTTTTGTTTAGGAATTTATCCTACACACAAAGTAACGCTTCCTGTTTACACTATTTCACTGTAAGCAAGCTGCACACAGCATTCTTTGTTTACTTCATGCACAATGGTGCGCTTATTGGAATCAACTTAAATACGACAAATGTCACCACACTTATTAAAGAATGCAAATCTCAGCATAATTGGTTTGGTTTGCTTAGGTTTTGCTTGATTCTTTAAATTCAGTTCGAGTCAAACCAACAAATAACCTGTGAAACCAATCCAATATGCAGAGCTTAACTGCTAGTCCAAAGCTTTAACTATGTTTGAATAGTGGATAAAAACATTGGCTATTTTCTATCCAAACACATTCTTCGTCAAGATATATCAAATAAAAAATTTATAAAATCGTTTGAAGAGTATAATCCGAGTATGTCCATTTAAAAACAGAGACAAAGGGTACTTATTATAAGGAAAATTTATTCACAATGTTCACAAAAAATATTTCTATAATTGTCTACAAAAATGATATACCACTTCACATATATATATACAAATTTATGTGTATTGTAAAATAAATAGATACATTTAAAGTATAGAATAGTTTATATGTATACAGTATAATTCGCTTAGCTGCATCGATAAGATAGTTGCTTTAAATTATATTTTTTCTGCATTTTTGGCTTCATTTGTATGAAAATAATTACGTTTGCTGCATCCAAGTTAGCTGCCTGTTGCACTTAAGCGCCTCGTATCGGCAGAATTTAATTGCCATTTTCTATGAACATCGTCCAATAAAAAAGATTCTTTCTCTATTCGATGAATATGGCAGACTTTTAAATTTATCTATAAAAGTGGCTGCAGTGCAAACAAAAATGACAACTCTTTTTAAAGAGAATTAATACTTATTAACAAAAATACAATATCCAAATAATTAAAAATATTTTAATAGAGGTATTCAGAATGTCTGTGCATCGTTGCATATGCAAAATTATTTAATTTTACAAAAACAATTCCCTTTCTTATGAATCTGCATTTGGTTTGCAAGACAATATTCAAGACCACATTTTTAACACCAATTACCTCTTGCATATTTGATTTTCAAGACTCTATTGTGAATAATATTATTTTTTTCACTACTGGCTATTATGAAACTTCTACCGATAGACGACAGACTTTTATCTACTGAGTCGATTGGTAAGCAAATTTGGTATTATGAAACTTGATAGACAAACATGTGCACTATTGTGAATGATATCAGGGTTTTAGAGCGTGCAACTCTAATCGAACTTATTTTGTTAGTTTGTTTGTATTGTATTTGCTAAGAAACATTAAAATTTAATTCAAATTCTTTTTAAAATAAATAAAAATATATTTTATTAATACGAAATTATTATTTAATATTACATTACATTAACAAACTAAAGTAATATATTAAAATTAAGCTTTAATATTCTAAAAATAGATATGTTTATATATTTTTATATTAATTTTAATATTTTTATAATTTGTAGTTATATTTACATTATATGTATATTAAATTAAATTAAATTAGTAAAATTCATATATTTTAAGCATTTGAAGCTTAAGAGACCGATATTTATATCTTTTGTTGATATTTTGTATAACAGTAAGTTTTTGGTCACAATACTCTTGCCTCCCTTCATTAAAATGTTTTCAGTATTTTCTAGGCGCCTAAACTAATAAGTTATTAAACTCTATCGCAATTATCTCCCACGGTGGTCTGGAATGTGACTTGTTGCAAATGCCTTTCGCAATGTCTGGATATATCTCTATATTTGCAACAAGTTTTACTATCTGCTTTTTATTTATTTATTTTTATTTTTATTAATTTTGCCCTACAACAAAATTTATTAATTTTATTTATTTCTTAATTTTATATAAATACATTATTCGTTGAAAAATATATCATAATAAATAAATAACAAAATAAATAAATAAATAACAAAACAAAAAAATGCAACAATCGTTATACCCAATATACATATAACACATTACACTTGAAACCAGATATTAAATGATAATATTAAATAATTATATTAATAGGCGTATTCGGTGGCTCGCAAGTACGGCAAAAAACAGCAAGTTGTTGGCCTATACTGGCCGCAATGTACGCAAAACAACAACACTATTTTCTCTACCTCGGCCAGCATAGTTATGCTGGCCAACCACATCGGCCAGTAAAAAAAAAATGTTACCAACGCAATAAGCGAACTATTGTGAACCTTCATTGAAAATTCCAACGAATAGTGCAATCAAATGTCAAAAATTGAGGAAATAAAAATTCAAACAGAATTCAAAAATTTGAAAAATCTTGAAAAGTAAAGAAGAAATAATAAGAATGGAGAAATCGTAAGTATTAAGCACATTGAATTTTTTATTATGTTAGTTATTTAACATTTATTTAGTAACATTTATTTTATTTCATTTAATTTGTAGTTTACATACGTAAAATTAATAAAACAAACATAATTTTTGAAGTTTTTCTAAAAAATTTTTTTATAGAAATATACGCAAACTATGGACCACAAAGGAAACGAAGTGTTTTCTAGAGTGCTACTTGACACGAACATTTATAACATTTAAAAAATCCATGAAATAACTTGCATTCCTCGGCCGCTGCAAAACGTTGCTTTCTTCTCCCTACATCGACAGTACCTACAAAAATTTACTTATCTTAGTGTTTTATTTTTAAATTTCCAATATTCTTACCATTCCTTTTAATTCCGTGTTCATTTTAATTTTATAATATTTTTATAAAAATATATTTGATTTATATGCACATATACAAGATTTGCTGTTTGTCAAAACAAAACATTTGACAGATTGCAACAGTGATGCCAATGACTCGCGTGGCCAACATAGGCCAACATGCATTTTTTGCCGTACTTGCGAGCCACCGAAAAGGCCTAATATTAAATGATATACTATATTATATTAAATCTAAGTGAATTATTACTAACAATTATATTAGTAATATTAAAATTATATTAAATTTATATGTTAAATTGACTGTATAAAGCGTTTTAACAGCATTTATTTTATACGATCGACAAACTTCTACTGCTCAAATGCAGTAGAGAAATTTATCTACCACTGGTAGAAAAACTTCTATCGGTTTGCAATTTATAATACCAAAATTTGATTTTTTCTACTAGCAGTAGAAATTTTTCTACTAGCAGTAGAAATTTTTCTACTGTCTATCAGCGATCGACAATTCATAATAGGCACTACTGTGATTTTGTGCAATGGTCTGATTTTATATGTATTTTACATCCAACAATGTCGGACAATGTCAATATATTCTGCTTTTCGTTTTTGCTTGGCATTGTTAAAATTATGCATATCGAATCAGAGTTATATTTTACAAGTATATAAATACAAAAACAAATATCAGCTGTTCTAAATATTTTTAAGACTGATATGCACATAATGCATTCATGATTATTTGAGTTTGCAATGATGCATATTCATCGATGCACAGAGATCTTAAATACTCCTTATTTAAATGATTATATCAGAACAAAAGACGAATATGTATATTATATAATACATATCTACCATGTACATAAAAATATATGCCATCATAAAACTAAAATGTATTAAATTCAGTACCTTTCAATATATTATTGTGCAGAGCAACCCTTTACAATAAACTTCAAAATATTAGCAGACTGAACCGAATTTGTTTGTTTACGTTTTGCATTTGTATGTTTAAACAATTAAATAATTCATTGAATAAAAAATTGTAAACTGATTAATTTTGTTCGAAGTTTATTTAAATAAATACCAAAGAGCGATATGTTTATATTCAATGCCAGCAAATTGATTTTTACCTACTTGCGTTAAGATATAAGCGAAAGCCTTTAAACATATCAAGTTATTATAAATACATATATTGTGTGCTGTTCTTAAATCAATTAAAGAGCTAAAAAAATAAAATATAGTTTCTTTTAATAGTACAATGGATGGGGAACATATGTGCGTACCACCGGAAAAGTCTTTTCAAGCATATATAACAAGAGCTAAATTGCACCCTGCAAAAAAAGATGAAAAAAGACACAAAAAAGATGCCACAAGAAAAGTAATTATTCTGATAAGAAATATAACAAACTTTCACAAAATTTTATGGTTATATTAGTAGAAATTTTTTTAAAAGTCAGTTTTAATAATATTATTCGTCCTTATTATTTTAGATATCTTCAATATTCAAAAAATGTGAGTCACTATATACTCTGGAAGACTTAAAACTAATAGAAAAACATCCCGATATTGTGAAACAAGTTCGGAAACGCAAAGAACGTATCGAAATCTACAAAGATAGGGCTATTGAGAAGGAGGATGATCCCCGTGTAATAGAAGCAAAAGTACAGGAGCTGGCAGCTATTGTGTCGCAAGCAAAGCATTTAATATGTTATACAGGTGCTGGTATAAGTACTTCTGCGCTAATACCAGATTATCGTGGTAGTAAAGGTATATGGACACTGTTACAAAAAGGAGAAAATATTGGTGAACATGATCTTTCCGCTGCTAATCCAACATATACGCATATGGCTATTAATGAACTGCATCGGCGAAGACTGTTGCGGCATGTAGTATCCCAAAATTGTGATGGGCTACATCTACGATCAGGTCTACCACGATTTTCGCTTTCTGAAATTCACGGCAATATGTATATCGAAGTATGTAAATATTGTAAACCAAATGCTGTGTATTGGCGATTGTTTGATTCGACGGAAATGACTGCACGTTATTCACATAAAACAAATCGTCTCTGTCATAGATGCGCAGAGCCATTATGTGATACTATAGTACATTTTGGTGAACGAGGTAATCTTAAATGGCCTTTAAATTGGGCAGGTGCTTGTCAGCATGCCGATAAAGCAGATGTTATATTGTGTTTAGGTTCAAGTTTAAAAGTATTAAAGAAATATACGTGGCTATGGCAAATGGATCGACGTGCTCGCCAAAGACCTAAAATTTGTATAGTTAATTTACAATGGACCCCAAAGGATAATATATCAACTATTAAAATTAATGGAAAATGCGATCATGTAATGAAACTCTTAATGAATGCTCTAAATATATCTGTACCAATTTACACAAAAGAAAAAGACCCAATTTTTGCACACGCTTCTTTACTTATGCGTGAAGAGCTCCATACTTTAACTCAGCCCTTACTTAAAAAAACTGAAGATATATGCACTACAACAACAGAAGAAACACAAGACTCGGCGATATCTAGTGATAGTTATAGTGAATTACCAATAGGAAAGGGACCTAGAATACGAACACCATTAAAGAGCAACACTCGCATTAAAACCAATTTGTTTATGAGACAAAAAATTCCTAAATTTATGATTGAATCATTAAGCACGAATGATAATAAAGAAACTGAGTTCACAATCGAAGATAACCAATATGTTAGGGAAAGAGACAAATCAAATAAAAGTGACACTTCGGATGGATTGGTTTCTATGCCCTTCAATTCCAATGAAATATCACATGAAGTTGCATGCACAACTAAATTTGAAATCGTAAAAACAGAAAATATATCAGAAGTAGCAGATAAGCAGAAAGTGTATACAACAAAAACTTTAGAAATAAAGCCAGAAGTTTATGATAAATTAGAAAATATACATGTAGAAAATTTATATTCAGAAAATATTAAAATGAGCGATAATCAAGAAGATCTAAAACAGAGTCCTCAAGCAATAGAGGGAAAGATTGATACCTCTATGTCAACAGTTATTTCTTCGAAGTTATCTATAGGTGGTAGAGAAGACTTAAAATTTGAATTGCTTCAAATTAATTATTGTGCTAATTTAACCCCACATTCAAAACTAAAAACTGTTACAAATGATTCTTATCAAACCATTGAAAACTTCAAATCATCAAAATTTAAAAGTGGAAATATAGCTGATTCGCAACTGCAGCATGAAGATGATGACGAATGTGAAAATTATGTTGCTCAAATGGATTTATTAAACACAGCCAAGACAAATCGCGTCAATGGTAGCAAAATTACGCAATTGTTACTAAAGTTACCCTGTTGGTACGATGTTAAATATGCATATTCAGGTTTGCACAGCATCGTTTATCCTCCGCCTCCTGATTTGAACATTTGGAATACCCAAGTTGTTCCAATTTTCGCTATGAACCGTGAAGCTGCAAAATGTGAATTTTGCTTTGATAACTATGCGGAATTAGAATGTCAATTTTATAAGAAATGGCATCTAAATGAGCGCAGCAGTCGCAAGAGAACTCGTAGAGGAAAAAATTTGTATTGCGCTTGCTGCACCCAAAGTGATTACGAAGAGGATGATTACGATGAAAATATATCTTTAGCATATATAGCCGCCGCTGAAGCTGCTAAGCGAGAACTACAAGAAAATAGTTTCCCTAAAAAAATAATCCGTACTCAAGCTGGTTGGTATGGCAAAGGGTACAAAAAAAATAGACGCCGTAAATAAGTATCATTAATAATTCATCTGTAAAAACCGTTGTACAAATTTATTTTGATCCGATAAAGTATTAGTGTACTCATTTCAGTGAATTGAATTTTTCTATATGTGAAGTTGAAATAAACTGATATATGTCAACTGTTTAATTAAAAATCAGTATATAGTATCTTTGAACATATTCATCTAACTTATTTTAAAAATTTTTCTTTATTTAAATCTTAAATTTGAACAAATGTTTCTAATTTCTAGACATTTACTTATATTATAAAATTTTAGTTTATTTAAATTTCTACTCAATAAATCATAAAGTATATATATTACGCTTAATGTTTCATTTATTGCTAAATAGTACAAAATTTTAACATAACACAGAGACAAAAGTAGTTTTTGATAGGATCATACAAATATTACAAGTGCAACAATTAATTTAATATTTTTACATTGCAATGCTGGGAAAAGTTATACTAAAAAATATAAATATCTTAAAATACTAAGCCATATAGATGAATGTATTAATATCATCATCGTCTCTGCGCATATATTTATGTTCGATTAACCACTCAAGTTGTTCTTTAATCATTTTTTTTGACGGCAGAAACATATTTTTCAAAATGTCAATTAATTCAGCCTAAAAATAAATTTAGAATTTTCCACAAATCAAAAAATACAAATAAAAATAAAGTACCTGTAAGGACGCGTTATTTATACGTTTACGCATTTTCATTATTTTTATAATTGCTTCTTGTGTACGTAGTATTCGCAACTGCACTATTGATTGATTATCTTCCTGTTGAGATCTCTCCGTACTTAGTTGCAAACGACCAATTAAATTTAGCTATATATTGAAAAATAAATTTTTTGTATTTTTAATCAAATTTATAAAATCAATTTAAACATTATATCAAACTCACTTTTCCCCTACGTTGGGATTTACAATTTTTTACAACAGCAAAGTCTTGATTAATATAGAACATGGTATTTTCGGTAAATTCTTTTGGTGTTCCAATATTGGGTTCCATAAATAAAATTTGTTTTTTCAATTTAGGAAAAGCAACTAAGGACCATAAAGTGCGACGAAGCTCAGGATCTTTAAAATAAAATAAAAAATATATTTAAATATTTTTTAAATAGTTTTTTAATTTTTTTACCAGGCAGCTCCGTAGCCAAACGTAAATTTTCATATGATATTTTATCAAGTGGACGCTGATTCCAAGCAAATAAAACAGCCATTTGAAATGTGGTCACATCTAGATCATATCTGCCAAAATTATTTGCAAATGTTATTGTACCATTGCTCATATGGTGATACCATTGAAGTTTACGTCCGGAATGCTTTTTTTTATAAAAATCTTCTATATCTGGAATGTAATCTTCTAATTCAAGAGGCAAGCTCACTGAAACGCGTTCTGAACAACGAGCCCAAGCACCTGCGTTTAATATTTTAATATTAATGGCATCATGACGGTCAGTAGAATTTCTAAATTGAGTATTTAGATCGTCGCTAACCTAATAATTATAAAACTTTTAATATGTCTTCAATAAATATATATTTAAAAACCTTAATATCTTGAAACATTCTAGCTAAACGGTTAACGTAATCAGCTGGCATACCAACTTCACGTAACCACTCGACAATATCTTCCTCTTTCTCGCTGTCGGCACTGGTACCCAAAATCAACCTTATAGATTAACATTAAATAAAATGCATTATTGCTTATGCAGATTTTAATAGTCACAAATCTAGTGAATTTAATCTTAAATTTATCGAATTAACTATGTTTGCGTATAATATATTAATTAATGATATTAATAAAATTCTACAATAAAGTATCCTCTTTAAATATACATACATATATCTAATATTTTAATTAGTTATTAGTTAATTAGCTATTAGATTAATCTAAACTTCCGGCAGACGGCTAAAATGCCATAGCTGTAAGCTTTATGTATATTTATTATTATATAACATTTTTATTTTTTGTGTACTATACTTACTTACTAACATGCTATATGTAATCTATAGAAAAGCAGATTTGTAATTGCTCGTAATTGCACTATAAAATCATATTAATATTAAAATCATATACATATTATATAAATTTTTATCCTTTGGCAAGGTGTAAGGCATATGAGTGTGATTTAAATATTACTAATAGAGAGTTGTTAAATGTAATTTTATATAAGCGAGTATAATGATATGAAAATTTACGCATTTAATTATGTAGATCGGTGACATAATCTATTAGGTTTTAAATTACCTTCGAGTTAAATGTACTTTATGATAACGCATAAAAACATCCTTGTTGTTTACATATTTAAGAACGAGCAACACATCTCTAAGGCGCCCATCTATTTGCTCACTTGTAAGCCGTTTACTTAAAGGTGTACGGCGCAATAACATATCGCAATAGTTTGCTAAAAGTTCAGGGCATTTGCTTTCAGGAGCTGTACATTTAACTCCACGGTTTGCTATACCAGTAGGAAGCTCCAACTACAAATAAAATTAAAGTTTTAATAAACATTATTCTAATTAAAAAGTAATATTATAATATGCCATAATTGTCTTGCCTTGAATACACTAGTGTCATTTACAACAGTTTTAAAAGCTTTATCACGTGCCGTTAAAAACCGGGGATCATCATTAAAAGCATTTTTAACTAAAGAACTAAATTTCTTAAAAAGATCCAATAAACGTTCAACATATTTTTCGGAATCTTGGGTAATAATATCAGATGCTGATAACATATCAGCAAGACCTGCCGTTACGATGTGATTTTCTAAATCCCGCAGCATTGGCTCAACGCCATTTTGTAATCGATCCAATAGTCGAAACATTAAATTCAAACGCTCCGTTTCATACTCTTTTATCAGCGGGGCGCATTCTGCTATTATAGTATTCATATGGTCTCCAATAAGTACTTTAACGCATGTTTGCGCTAACACATTATAACTGCTGGGTTCTAAGTAACGTTTTGCTCGTGCCTCTTCTTCACGCAATTTTGCATCTGCATATTTCATAAAGGACAAGACCCCATTAGCTTGCTGTTGTTCCGTTGCTTTAAGTCGGTAAAAAGATGTTGTTGCTTTAAGATATGCTGCTTCAAAATTTTCTCGATATATCTCCAGTTTATCGTCTGGGTTGGAGCAAAGATTAACGTAACTTTCACGTACACCGATCACTAATTGCGCATCATATGCATCACCATTTCGTTCTGCGTGTACTATTTTCATGGCAGATTCCTGCAGTCTATCTTTTATATCACGAAATATATTTTCATTCCATGAATCAAGCATTAATTTTCGCACAACACTATCTTCAGCAGGAGTTTTCTTTGAAGTTGAAGAAGATACTGTTGCACCTGAGTTTACATTGGTGCTGCTGCCAGCTGATGTACTTGAACTAGACGTATTTGTAGTGGCTTTACATTGTAGTGATTGCTCTAACTGACGAAATGGTAACGGCAGGTAGCTGGATTGAGTAAAGAACTTACGCCACTCAACTATATAAGTCATAAGAAGTGCTTGTTCTCCACGTTGAGATTGTACTTTACGTTGTGCATGCACTATAAATTCCACAATATCTGTACGCAAGCAATCATAAATTTTATTTGCACCCTTTTCGTCCCATAGACAAACTAAATGAACACCGTAAAATAGATCTTGCCATTCAGCTTGTGAGACAGTTTCTTGTTTTAATAATTTAAGAACGATGATGCGCATTTGCGGCCACACATCTTCGAATGTACGTTGCGCTTTTCCCTTTAACATATTTTTTGCTTTTAGTTATAATCCTAGCTTTAATTCATTTAGTAAATGTTTTAAATTTTTAAAAATTTAATTTATATTATCAAATAAAAAATATAGGTTTCTTAATGCAGATTTGTGTACGTTTCAATTTGTATCATATGCAAAATGCAAGATCATTGCTTTCAAAATTCACTTTTATGTGGATAAAAAAACATTACTTTAGAAAGACGACAATAACTTCGAAGATGAATACATTTAAATACATTTTTTAATATATGTTGAAGAGCAAACTAATTAACTTCAGCCTTCATCGACAGCTGTTTTAATATTGAAGTGTTGGAAAATAAACATTTTGCAAATTGTTAATGTATAAAGATTCATTCTCATTTTTAATATAAAATATTTGAAAAAATTCTTCAATAATGATTTCATAATTTATATAAATTGTTTATATTATATAAAAATATAAATTCATATATCCAAAATACAATGCATTAAATTGTATTTCGTTTTAATACTTTATTTATAAAGCACAAGAAACACATCTAAATGTCAATGGCTCTTTTTCATTCTCTTTATAATATCTTCGCTTTTATTTTTGTGTAAATTTGTTCTACCGTATTGGCTTATAAATTTGTGGAAATATTTTGGAAAATAATAATAATTAATTGTATTGTAAAAAAAATTATTTAAAACGAAGGCACAATTTAAAATGACCATGGGTGAAACGCCAACAGCTACACTTGTATTACCAATTATCTTGAGGCCTATATTTGCCCAGGTAAATTTTTTTATAAATAAATTAAAATAAAGAACATAATATTGAAAAATTATAATAGTTGGAACGGCGTGATGTAGGCGCTGCCCAATCATTACGATCAGCTATTCTAAAATCTGAGCAAACCAATCCTGGATTTTGTTATGACTTAGTGGCAGCAATCATACGTCGTGCTGAAATAAATGTGAATATAAATGAAGCAGTGCTACGCCTGCAAGGAAATATTTCAGAAGTTGATTGTAATCTTTTTTGATTTATTATATAATGCTCTTATACATATTTAATTATAACAAATTTTTAGTGAGTGAATATCGCTTAGCACGTACTGAAGAACCATTCCAGGAGTTAAATCGCAAATCTATTGCGCTTAAAGTTATACTTAGTCGTATACCTGATGAAATTACTGATCGAAAAACATTCTTGGAGACAATCAAGTATAAACATTTTTAAATAGTAGTAAACTTCAATTGATTGATAATTTTTAGAGAAATTGCTAGTGCAATAAAAAAGCTTTTAGATGTCGTAAATGAAATTGGATCTTTCATACCTGGAGTAACTTCAAAACAAGCTGTAGAGCAGCGAAAGAAAGAATTTGTTAAATATTCAAAAAAGTTTAGCACCACATTAAAGGAGTATTTCAAAGAAGGACAGTAAGTAAATAAATAATACAAAAATTTTCCAATTAAAAAACATTTATATAATGTTTTACAATCTGAGTTAAGGTTGTAAAAAAGTTTAATGAATTTAAAAGTGTATATAGAAAAAAAAAATCCCGAAAATTAAATTTGATAAATATAACATTTTCTAAAAGTATTAATCATTATTAGCAAAGCTGTTCTCAGAAATATTTTAATGAGTTTAATATAAAATATTCATCAGATTAGTATTTTTGAATAGGTGAAGTCATACAAAATTATATTTCGTCGAACTAACATTGTGTATAAATTTATTTATTGTATTTTTTCAGGTCAAATGCGGTTTTTGTAAGTGCACTTTATTTAATACGGCAAACGAACCAAATCATGCTGACTGTCAAGAGTAAATGCGAGTAGAATATGTAATATACTTTATAAATTAGTAAATTCATATAATTTCCATATTTAAAAGTCTAAATTTATTCAATAATAATTTGAAGACAAATTTTTTTAGTAAAACGAAATTAAACGGTCGGCGTTATACAAAATGATTTAATTAAATAAAATATATATTTTAATATATATTTATATGTAATAATACTATGTAATAAAAATAGTTTTGTTTTTCAAAAAAAAAAATGTGTAAGGAATTTAATAATGTAAATACTTTGATGAAGTAATGTTTAATGTAATGTTTTGCTCTTTGATGAAGTAAGTTTATAAAATTTTTAACTATTTACTTGTTAAAACTTTAAACTTTTTACGTATACCACTTATTATCTAGACGTGTTTAACTAATGTAAATGTTACTTAACGAAATAAAAATATATTTAGATCAATATAAAAGAATACATTTTTTGATTTTAATAATTTAAATAAATTAAACGTTTATAATTTAGCTTAGGTATTTATAATATAATTTAAATTATTTTCTAAGTTTTAATATATGGAATAGCTGTATAATATCAATATGAACTAGTTAGTTATCATTCTATGATTGATGCAATATAAATACAACTAAAAGTTCGAAGGGTTTAAGAGCTGTCTTATTTATGGTTATGTACTGAATGTATTAATGTTGTATTAATAGGAATGATTTATCCATCCTGGATTTGACCTTTATCGCAGGTGAAATTTAAACATCTTTCACCTATACTATAAAGTACAGCCTATAATTGCACTAAACTTACTTATGTAACAATTGGACACTGGACTGGAAGTGACATTGCAAGTGACATCTACAATATGTCATTGGACAGGCATTCACAACATGACAGTCTTATTTTCAGTTCAACCGTAATAGGCTCAGAGATATGTTTGCTAAAAGTGTGCCGTTGATGACTTCAAACTAAATAGCAATTGTTGTACTGCATTTGACCAATCTTACACGTAATTATAACTTTTCTATATATATATATAAAGACTATATATAAGGTCTGTCTAAGAAATTCCTTTCTTATTGTAATGTCCATGACAGAATTATTACCTCCTCCTACAGAATTGATTTAAATAAATTGAAATCCAACTTTCTCGATACAGTTCAATGTGAACTTAAGTGACAGCCACTACATAAGATTTTCCATATTTTCCTGCGATTAGAAGTGTTTAATGCTTGTTGTTTGTAGTTCAGAATGACAATTTGTCAACCAGAGAAACGTTTAAGTATTTAGGATCCACGTGATACTACTCTCGCCGTCTTTGCTTGCCACCTCAAATTAAAGCACTAATTTAACCTGATTCATATATACCTATAATGACACCCGTTCGGTCTTCGGGACCTGTTGCGATGCTGATAGGAAATATTATAGAAATATTAAACTCTTATAAACGCATTCATTTGATGTAACTAAGACAGATAAAATGTTTTTCGTTTAGCTGTCACAGCAATTCTTGAAGGTAAACGGTATACATCTTGCCACTTTAAAAGCACTCTACAAAATTTATCAAACTGCTACAAAAATGGAGTTATATGTCTATACACTCTATAGTTATATGTCTATACATATAAGTGTAAAAATATACATTTGAGTATATATGCTCAATCTCTGAGGGGGAGTCAAAGACATGATGTAATCTTTAATTAAGCAAACAGATCTTTAAGGCTAGCATTGAATTCATTTACTTTCTTACACCATAGCGAAATATTAACATTTTCTGTCTCCACATTTTCTGTTTTTACTAAAACGTCTAGATCTTTACTGTAGTATCATATGATTCTGTCATTTGGTGGATCAGAATCCAACTGAAATCGGAACACATAAGTTTTTCTAACTTAGACTGAGAATTGAGATTGGTGTCAGATGCAGTGACAATAAATTTACAAAAATTGGTCATTATATATTGTGTTTTAATTCAGGAATATCAGAGCTGCAATTATCACTAGATACCATTTAATTTATTTTTCACGAATTTTTACCGATAGTTCAAAAACTGGAGGGTGCTAGGGTGCTGGTATATTTTTTTAGAATTTGAACAGCAATTACTTATTTGACATAGTTTCGAGTATATATAATATGTCTTTAAAGCAAAAGTGTTAACCATCAGGAAATCAAAGGAACTTATTTCTGAATTTAAAAAGAAAAAGAGGATCATCATTGTTCTAAATAATTTGAACCCTGATACGCTTAAAACCCTGATCAACTCGATAACATCATCAAAACTAGTTCTTGATTGCAAATGTCGGTTAAACGGTGTCGGTAGACATAACAATATAACCCTTCAGTGTGTTCCTACCCATTTCGGCGTATCAGTAAACGAAGTTGTGGACGAAATTGCAACAACCGGTTTCAATACGGTAGCTTGAGGACCGCAATCATTTCTTGGCCTACTAAACTTTGTTCTGAGACTCGATATTTACAGCTGTATTCAATTCATTCAATTTAAATCGAGCCTGAAATCAGTGAAACCTTCTTTTTCGTGTACAGGACGAACTCATCATTGCGAATGTATTATACTTCTGTCCTGCCCTCTCAAGATCCAGACTCAAAATACCAGAGTCCTACGTCGTCAGTAACTCTAATATTAAAAAGGAACCAAATATTTTTGTGTTAATCGAAATCAGTTTCAAAGTACAATGGATCTTCACAGTCTAACTGCTGTGATTGTAAGTACAAGATATTTCGAATGAATAGTTTTATTGTGTTATAATGTCTTAAATGGTGATAAATAAAATAAGCAGATGTGGAGTTTAATTTGATAAAAGAGGTTATGGACGAGGAAGCACGAAACTTTTCAATATGGCAGATCTCAGAAGACGGTTGCAGCGTTTGAAATCTTACAACAACTATTCGTTGTTAAGTTACTACTTTCAATTGTATCACATTTTAAATAATCTTGAATATTTTAGTTGGAATATTATATTTATTATTATCAGTACAATTTTGGAAGAATTGGACATTAATATTTTAAAATTAAAATAATTTATTAATGGTATTCAAACATATTCGGTAACTGGGTAAATTAATTCATAGTGCTGAGTTATCAGATCTGATCTGATAATTTTTTCGAATTTTGGTAAAACATCAGCCGATTCTTATCATCTTCACTATAAACAAAAAAAATTACATGAATAAATATGGATGGTAATGAAAAATTATGTAAAAAATTTTTACTTTAATTTTATACATGTACATATGTATCTATCTTCCATTTTTTCTTGCTAGTTTTTTGCTTTTATATTCAACAAAACAAAAATGTAATATCAGCGGCTCTATTAGTGTAAATGAACAACTTTATCTAGTAGTAATTAAAAAGTAGTTTTCAAACGTTTTTTATTTTATCAATTTATTCATTATCGAGTTTTATATCTTATAAGAAGGTTATACACCTATACAAGGTCTATCAACAGCATTTTGGTTTTAAATCTTTATGCTCATATTAAGAAAGGATATTATTAATGCTAAAGACTTAAGTGGTTATCATATATTAAATTTATTCATAATCGTTCCATATTATCATTTGTGGATGATAAACAGTTAATAATTTACAAAAATCCACATATAGAACAACATATCTTTTTATTGTCAAAGATAATAAAATTTAAGAGGGAAATATGGAATTTCTTCACACAAAAACCCTATATTTTTATGAGATACTTTTTAAAAAATCTTTATTTGTAAAACAGTTAGTAGTTTACTCTCAAAGTTTTAAATCTATATATGAATCAAATTTCTCTACACCTAGACCAACCAAAATTAACCACTAAAAATCGATTCTTTCACACATGGAAAAATCAGTATAAGCACAGTAGATTGTAGCTACTCATTGAAACCGTGCGAAAAGAAAATGACCCAATTTTCTTGTTTTTCATTTTACTAATAAAAATATACTTCAAAAATTTTTTTTATTAACAGTATACTAAAAATGAAGTAATGAATAAAGTGAAATCAAATGATAATGAATAATTCTAATAAGACTTTAAAATATTTGCATAAAAGTTTCCGCAGCAAAAAAGCCAAAGCATCTAATACAAGTGAAAAAAAAATCGGCTCTACACTATGTAAAAAATGAAAAGAAAAAAATTAAATAAATATATTAACATAAAATCTGCAACATAAAATCCTTATTAACTGTTTGATTAATTAAAAGTAAATGAAATCAATATGTTTTAATATGGAATATAGTTATATATTCAATAAATAAGCATTAGTCACGTTTTTTGAAAATATATTCAAAAATTTTCTATAAAATTTATTAAAATGAAAAACCGTAAATATAAGCAATAAAAATAAATATAATATCCCGTTAAAGCATATCGTAAAAGTAGCACATACGTAAACGTATGTTGAAAGTATGAAAAAAGTGAGTGCATATTATCGTTTCAGCCGTTAATCATTTTGCATAAATAAATTGTAAGTAAATTAAAATTTATACGTGTATTTTATTACAATAAGCTAATGCAATCATATGAAATAGTTTGTAAAAGATGATTACAAATTAGGCAAAATGAAATTAGCAAATGAAGTGAAATAACGAAACTTTTACTTTTACTTTACTTACATCTATCCACCCACTATCCGATACCAATCAAACTTCCCTTTGAAGGGTTCGTTTATTTTCGTTTCTCTTTGTGGTACTTTTGGTATTGGACATCGCGTATTTTGTGACATTCAAGTTAGTGAGTGAATACAAATAAGTGAAGTGATAAAGTTGTTGAATTGAGAGAAGTAACGAAGGATTACAGTAGTTATTATTTGCAATAATTTATAATTTTATTCTGTGCATTTATTTTGCAATTATGACATACAGAGCAAAATAATAATAAAGTAAAAATTCTTTGGTCGCATAAAAGATTACACAAAAACTGTTAAAACCATATTTAATTATTCACTAAAAAATTATAAATTCGGGTTTTTGTTAGGTATATAAAATAAATATTGTCTAACAATTAAATAAATTTGTCAGTATTAATTATCTAAGTAAAAGCTCTAAACTCTTCGAATTCCTTTCACCCGAAATAATGAAGGTAAAGAACTTTTTCACAAGCTGAAAAATGATTAAATTCATACGGAACATGTTTGAGTATGAGAATTTCCGTTTAAGTCTTGTGGCATTTGCAGAAGGTACTAGGTTATATTTATAGGAAATAATTATTATAAAAAATAATGTTAAAATAAATATTTGAATTTCTTTAAAAAAATACATATATTTGTATATATACACACATTATAATTTGCAGAAAAAACGATACTGTTTCTCAATCGATCAATATTCATAATCATATAAATATTATTAAATATTTATATGTACTTGGACTGCATTTGAGCAACATCTTAAAATAGCTTTAAAGTTTCATAATGGAGCATTTGCATTTACACATGTTTGCTTGAACTCCGGTTTTTTCTATAGATAACTTAAAGGATGCAACAATATTATGCAGAATTATTTAAACAGCTATTTTCATCCTTTGTTATGTGCGCTTAAATGTTTTTATGCATCTCTTGTAAAAAACTAAAACTAAAGTATATATATAATTTAAAAGTTGTACTTTTCGTAAAATTATAAATAATTAAGTTTCCACAAAATATGACAACATTGCTCTTAAGAGTTTTTAAGAGAGTAAAATGAATCCCATACAGTTAAAACACGAAACGTATTGGTGGAAATAAGCAATATGTAGGCCATTTCCCTTAAATTCGGGTTGTCAAGTTTCTACAGAACATAATTAAGTTTCTAAAAATATTATTGCATATAATTCGTAAAAAAAAGTTTACTATTATCACATTTTTTTCATTTCATACAGCCGTCTGTATTTAGGGTAAATATTATATGTTATCATATAAACATGAAGTTATTTCACAGATAATGAAAACACTGAAATTCCACAATTTTACTTTTCTTCAGAAATTGCATTAATTAATTTTGTACTCTTAGTTATTGTTTGTACAAAATAGGGGGAAATTTTATAAATAAGTTGTTTAGCATTTAAAGAAATATATGTATAGTCTTGTTCATTTGAAAAGAGAAATGTAATTGAATGAGAAATGTATTTCCTCACTATATATGTATAAGTTGTTATTATCTCTTAAGGACCCTAAGCGTAAGACAGCAACTAGTGTCAAGTTCTTTTTGATACACACGTCGGAAATGTTTAAATTTGCATCTCGTTTGCATATAATGTTATTATTTTTATATTATAAGCGTAAATATAGATAAACATATCCATAAAAAACAAAAAATATTTTAGTTAGTACAAATTTAATTACTTCCTAATTAAGTTTATTAAAATTGAGATTTGTAAAAAAAATTTTATAACTACCAAATTTTCAATTTTCATTTTTGCATATATTTGTGATTTTGATATTAAATTTTTTCTTAATGTAAACACAGAAATATGCAATGTACATAATTATATATATATGTAATGAATTTGTTCATTTATAAAATACTTGTGTAATAGTGTGACCTATAAAAAAACAAGAATGTGTATTATGTATGCATACATTTTTATTGTGAATTTTAATAAATTCTAAATTTAAATTGAATATTTTATATAATAATTTAATTAAATTTATTTAATAGTAAATAACCATCATATATTGATAGTTATTTGTAATTTTTAATATTTAGATTGAAATGCCATACGAAGCCATACACCATCAACCGTCGGGATCAAACGGTATGTTGGACTCGTTAAGCATGCAGTTACGAGACGCAGAAATGAGACGTACGGAAATAGAACGAGCACATCAAGTAAGTCAAGTATTTTAATTTTAATAAATTATTATCATCTCAGATTTTAATTTTTTTGGAAAATTTTCTTATGAATTAAAAAGTAAGCTTTCTTTCTTTCTCCCTATTTTTCTGACTGTAATAAAAATCATATGAAACTTTATGATTTTTAATAATAATAGCAAATATTTAGTGATTCACTTGATGTTGTAGATTTGTGTAGTCATAGTGGTTCTACCGTTAAATTCTTTAAGAGATGTAATTTTTTGTAAGTAGATTTTTAAAAGACAATCACTTATTTTAAATATGACATATGAAGCTACAACACTGGTAGCTTATTTAACTCAACTTTTTTGAAATCGTATATTGTGAATGATTTTTAAAAATACATATATATACAAGCGAAGAGCGCCATTGTTAGGCTGACCAAATGATCGAAAATCGAATTAAGTTGTCCTTATCGCAAAAAGTTTATAGGTCATTAGATAACTACCAAGTACCTCAATTAGCGATTTTTCGCCGTTTTGTTACCACATTCCTTGCAAGAACCCTAGCATATACGAGTAGAGACTAAATCCATCCCGTCGAATTTAGGTAATTTAATAGATCTTGTGGGTTATGGGGAATGCGCAGTTTCTCTGCGTGAATTCCTACATACAAATGACCAGTAAGAACTGCAGTAAGCCTTGCAGTGTTCACGCGACGCTTTTGATGAGTTCCGAGGATTTATTTTTATTATAAGTGGGCCATGTTAACCTGGAAGTCGCACATGACCTTAATGCTTTCCATCTGTTATTGGCAAGTTGCAGAAAATAGAGAAAGGTACTTCTTTTGATGATCTCTAGGGTAATATAAACTGATACCGCCAGTGACGCATCTAGAAAGGCACCAGTGCGGGCTAGACTGTCAGCTCTCGTTTCCTACGATATTCCTATGTCCAGGAACCCAGATGAGGGTGATATCAGCCAACTGATTTAGCTCATCGATTGCTTCTCTACATTTCTACATATGTCCTCGGTGTGACTTGCAATTTGCCGACAGGCTTCTCTATTGCTAGAATTTCAGCCTGAAAAACCGTAGCCTCATTTGGTAGCCTAAGTGAATTATTTATGTTTTCAGATGGTACGAAGATTGCTGCTCCTGCCCCACGGTTCATTTTCGAGCCATCTGTATATATTGAGATATCGTAGTTTGCTTCGAAATTTTTCCTTTTCCATTCATTTCTTGAAGGAAATATTGTCCGAAAATTCCTTTCGAAGTCTATGCACGGGTTCAGATAATTCGATGTCATCTTATACAGACAGTTTGGAACTTTACCTAGAATCAGACTATGTCCATATGTTCGTTCCGACCAGACGCCTGTTACTTTTAGTCTTACAGCGCTATTGCAAATCATGTTTTTGATGTGGAGATCGATAGGTAGCAGTTGTAGCATCACGTTTAGGGCGTTCGAGGGAGTCGTCCTAAAAGCTCCTGTGATACCTATACATTCCGTCCTTTGAATTCTGTTAAGTTTATCGATATTATAGTTCTTATTCAGAGCCGGCCATCAAATGACAGCACCATACGTGAGAATTAGACGTAAAATTACCGTGTACATCCAGTGGGTAATATCGGGACGAATTCCCCATTTATTCTTAAACATCCTATTGCAAGAATAGAAAGCTAGAAATGCTTTCTTGATACGAAGATCAACATTGTGTTTCCAGTTTAGCTTACTATCCAACATAATTCCTAGATGTTTGACTTTTTCCGATAGTTTTAATTGTTGCCCGTTTAGTGAAGGCAACCTGAAAGTTAATATTTTGGTTTTGGTGGTAAACAGCATCATTTCAGTTTTTCCTGGGTTAATGCCTAGTGGCCCAGGTACTTATATTAACCAAGGCCCTTTCCATAATATCGCTTATTATGTGTGGAAACATACCTGACACTAGAATAACCACGTCATTCGCATACGCTACTGCTTTCAACCCTATTTTATCTAGATTATTAAGAATATTATTCACGACCAGCAGCCATAGTAGCGGTGAAATAACCCCTCCTTGTGGCGCACCTCTACTGACGTGCTTAGTTTGGGTTATGCTGCCTAACTTTGAATGAATAGTCCTTGTTTTTAGCATAGTAACTATCCAATTTTTTAATTTTTCCTCTAAACCTATTTTGGAAAGCAAGTCATGGATACCTTTATTGGTTACATTATTAAAAGCCCCCTTAATATCTAAAAAGGTTGCCAACTAGTATTGTTTAAAATAAATCGATTTTTTCACAGTACGAATAACCTCATGTAGAGCTGTTTCCGTAGATCTACCTTTGAGGTAAGCATGTTGGGATTTAGAGATTGGAAAGTGTTCTACCTTTTGTGTTAGGTGAGGTTCTAACACCCTCTCCATTACTTTTAGTAAGAATGAAGTTAGACTAATCGGTCTGTAATCTTTGGCAAACTGTCCGATTGTGTCCGATTTTGCCTACCTTGGGTATAAAGGCGATTTCAACCTGCCTCCAAATAAGTGGTACATAACTATATTTAAGACACGCTTTGTAAATTACCCCTAACTATGAAACCACTAAGTCTTACAGTTTTTGCAACATGATTGGAGAAATACCGTCCAAACCTGGCGATTTATAGGGACAGAAACTGTTGATTGAATACCTAATTTTTTCCGCTGTGACTATTGCTTCAGCCATCTGCGATGGTGTGCTTGCTAAGGAGATCGAACCATTTTTACTAGCATCATCTTCACAGTTTGGGAAATGAGTATTTAATAGTAGTCTTAGTGTCTCAGCAGAGGTTTCAGTCCATGTGCCGTCCTCTTTCTTAAGATAAGAAGGATTTGCACTTTTTTTTTGATAGAACATTGTTGAGCCTAGCAAAGGACGAATATTGTTCTTGTAGGTTGCATTAAACTGTTTTCATGTTTTCGACCTGAGATCACTAAATTCTGAGTTCCACTAAGGCGGAAAAGATTTTTTTACTTCTATTTATTGGAGGAGATTTCTTGTAACCTATATTAAAAGGTGCCTCAAGATTATATATCCTCTCGTCTAGGTCACTAGTAGAATCAATCAAATTTGTTTTACTTTATTAAGTTCCATCTTAGTTACCCTTGTAAAAATGTCCCATTTTATCTTCTTCGGGTTTCTCAAGGTGATTGCATGATTTGGTTTAATGCTTAAGTTGAAGACAATCCAACTATGATCCAAGGATTCCTTGTCAGATATCTTCCAATTACTAACTACAACATCTGGATTTTCGGATAGAAGTGTTATATCTAGCACTTCTTCCCATCCATCAAACCCCTGTAAACTGAGAAAAGTAAAAGTAGGAGTTTTACCTCTATTACAAATTAAAAGATTTGAGTTGTTAATAAAATCAAAGAGGTACTCACTCCTGTCATTGGTTTCCGAACTGCCCCAAAACGAATGCATGGCATTGGCGTCACATCCAATTAGCGTGGGAGTATCTTTTGATGAATTTCTGTGTACTACCGCGACTACCTCTTTCGGAGGAGCATTTCTATCATGCGCCATGTAGGCAGAAGCGACAATAAAATTTTGTCCACCTGGCAGTTCAATCCTTACAGCTGTCAGATCATTATCACTATACTGTGGACATAAAAAGGCATTAATACATTTTTTAACTAGGATATTTAATCTTGGCTTACCTTTGTTCCTTATATACAGATTGTTATACGGTAGTTCTTCAGCATTAGCCAAATGACGTTCTTACCTCTGATCCATGGCTCTTGCACGATGCCGACGTCGACATCCTCCTCGACTAGAAAAATGGCGAAATTATCCGAGGTGATTTTCGAATGCTAAAGATTGATTTATGCTGCTTTCAGCATTTGAGCAGGCTTACGAAGTTTCTGAAGCTTCTTTCTGAAGCATCATGTCGTCAAGCAATTTGTTAGCACCCTCTAACTCCTTACCTTCATTATCTTTGCCTGTTGGGCAAAAGATCTTGACTTTTGTGTACCGTACTCCAAACCTTAGCTTACAGTCCATTTCTTCTAGTGGCTTCACAGATTCCAGAAGAAGCGTCATGTTGTTTTTTTGATTACCCTCATCCTTGATGACTACCCAGTCATTCATTGGCACATTTTGATTCTGTCGTTGCAGCAGTTGGAGTACTTTCCTGTACTAAATTTTCATATTTGGCAGCCAAATGCGGTTTCTTGGTCTTCTTGGGATTTCGTTGGCTGGGATAAGTTTAAGTCTTAAACCTTCCCATGCATCACTTATCTTAGCAATGCAGTTGTCAAGAAATGCCTTGGATAGCTGGTCATCGCATTTGAAGACACTGCAGCCATGGCTTTCTGATGAGTCAAAGCCAGCGATGAGTCAAAGTCTAGATTTGGTAAAATGTGTTCCATCACCATTTTAGCCAACTTGGGTTCAATCTCACCCCATTTTTCCAGCACCTTTTTTCCATTGCCGATAATATCATTAATGAGCGCCACCTGTAGCTCATCCCTTGCTATATCGCTATACGCCCTTTTCTGGCTCGTTGTCGGTTTGCTGTTAGGAGTTGCTTTCACAACCTTGCTTCTTGAAGTATGGGTCGTCTCGTCCTGAGACCGATCCCTCTTCATCACCTTTGCGGATTTCGATAGGGTGGCCTGATATTCCTTGTACTCATCCACCACCTTTAGGTATCGTATTTTGTCTGTGCGCTCAAACGCCTGTTCTGTACCTTCAGCTTCATTTTTAGCAATCTTGCCAAGAATGAACATAGCCTTCCGGCACCTTTGACGTCTGATCTTTGCCTCAGACTTTTTTGGTTTTTCAGCAGGCGCACTGTGGCACGCTTGTCTGCTTATTTTCCTGTTATAGATGAAGTAGGAGCAGTGCGGCTGCTACTGCCTACATTGATTGGTAAGGCGGTTTCCACTCGCTCGTTTTCTTGACTTCATGCCAGGAGCTCGTCTTCGGAACTGGTTCCGTGTTTGTTTTTTGATTATTGATTTTTTTGAAAGATTCCATAAATGCTCTCACGAGTGAAGGGGAGGGGAAGGTCGTCCGAAGCATTGCGGGTTTTATCGAGTTTTCCTCTCTAGATCCGCCATAATATGTGGCTCTACACCATGTATGGACGATCTTGACACCTAGTGAACCTTCACAATTACTTTCACTCTAAAAACATACATGCATACATAAAAACACACATGCATACATAAAAACACACAAGGAAACAAAGACACACATGCATACACATAAACTACAGGACACCACAACTACTGGTAGTTCTTTGTTGTACCTACAAGCCAGATCGACACGCCAAGGTGCTTACCACGTAGGGGGATTGTATTTGTGCTTAACAAATAATTTAAGAATCATTATACAAACAATTTGAGAGGGCATTTACTCTAATTTGAACTTGTAGGTTTTTTAGGGAAAGAAATGAGACATAAACGAAAGAAGTTTGTGAGAAGGCAGAGCTAGAATAAGCAGATTTTGAATTACTGGCGACTATAAAATCTCTTAAATCATATAATGTATTGGTGTTCTATAAATCATATATTACTTCATCATAAACGGCAGTATGATTGCATTCTTCTTCTATTTATAGTAATAACATTGTAGTATGTAATGCTACTTTGATTACAGCACTACCATAATCTGTTATTTGTCAAATAAAAAACGAATTCTCAAGTGTAACTAATCATTTGAATATGTTGAAGTTAAAAATCATCAAAGTTTGATTGCAAAATTATTACTCTGTGCAAAAATCTCAGTTTTTATAATATGGATGCTTAAACTTCTGGTGGGATTACCCCTCGGCGTTCAAAGTCTATAAACCCTGTAGCAGCTTTATATAAATTTTCTATACCATTCGAAATTTTCTATACCAAACGAAATTAGCATAAATTTTAAGGTGCACCTTTCATTTCGTTTAATATTGTTTCCATTTTAAGAATGGTGTGGTTATTGATAATAATTTATATGTACTGCATAGTATACATTCTAGAAATGCTTTATTGTTGTATAATATGAAAACTATATGGAAGATTTTTCAAATTTCAAATGGTCTTATTAAACTGCGGCATGCTATTAAAAAATGAAGTAATTTTGGTTATTACCATATAATAAAAATAATTTATATATATTTTTTTTAAATTTATAAAATTTATATTAGGAAACTTTGGCCCAAATAAGAAACTTGAATAGTAGTGGACGACCTGACACTGAAGCAATAGAAAATTTACAGTCTCGTTCAAGGGAGCTGGAAAAAAAAGTAAGTTTGTATGGCTAATGTAACTAAAAATAAACTATATATAACAACATTACAATTGTTATGTAAATAACAATAAAAAAAATTGAATCTTACTATCGAGACATTGTATGAAAAATGAAATGTAATATTAATATATCTCTAAAGGCTGCTTTAGAAAACGTTCGCTGTGAGGAGTTACAAATTGAACTGACTGCAGCTTTAAAAGCTAAAGCAGCTCGGTCTGCTGGAGTTGCTTCAAGTGCAACTGGACTATCCGGTACAAGTTCCACAGTGACATGGGCGCCGACAATCAGCCATCAAGAGCACGGTTCAGAGATTGAGATAATAATGGCAAAAATTGAACAGGTATTTTATATATGAACATTTGATTATATGTATGTACCAGAGAACTGCAATGACTACTCAACACTCGAATCATTGACTGTGTTTTGTTTATATGTATTCTGATTCTATTTTTCGTATATTCAACTCCACCTGATTAATAATTCCAGCTGATAGCACTTATGACGACATATACCAAAGATTTTCTTTTATTTAACTTTCTCATATGATACTCATAAACACTGACATTCGACATAAAAACGATGCCACCGATTTATATATTATTTATGGGTATTACGTCGTTAGCGACAAGAATTTGCCTATTGTTGTGTACTGTGCATATAATTTCCTACTAAAACAACCCCTAATTTGATGCATACATAATATTTAAGCGCGGTGCAGACTATCATACTGGTGTGTCACACAAGTTGCGCTCTCTCTTGCTCAAATTTCTTTTAAGCGCGGTGTAGACTATCATACTGGTATTTCATACGAGAGAGAAAAACGTTGTATGACACACAGGTATGATAGTCTGCACCTCTCACCAACATGTTGGTGTGCTCACCAAAATTTTGGTAAGCAGCTCTCGCCAACGTGTTGTGTATGATAGTCTGTCACCCTAAACGATTCACACGTCATACGAGAGTATTTTTACCTTACAATATAGGCGATATATGTAGAATTGTAATATAAATTTAATACGTTTTTTATTATTTTATTATTAATGTATTTATTATTTTTTAAAATAATTATTTCACGGGCTAATTGGTCAGTTATTAAATAATGATCTTTTTTTAAAAAAAATTTATTATTTAGTTTTATAAGATTTTTATTGTCTAATATTTCGACTATAACCTATAGTTATCATCGGGGAACTATACATATAAATACATTGTAATTAATATTAAGGAATTCATTACATAGAAACAATAATAAATTACATTTACATTGAAACATGAAACATACATATGTATTTGGAAAATATACAATACTTTGACTATAAGAATTATAAAAAAATCAAAAAAAATCTCTAAAAAAAGCGTTTTTGTTGATTATTTTCATGGTGTAACACCTTTATGTTATCAAGGTCTGGCTCATGTTTTGATGTAATACAATGTGATGCCAGTGTCGTTTTTGAGTCAATATTATTTTTATATTTGACACTGTGTTTATGTCCAGCTATGCGTGTCTTTAACTTGTTTTTTGTTGTACCAACATATACTTGGTTGCATATGTTGGATCCATCACCTTTACATTTAGTTTGATAAATCACATTGTGTCTATCCAAAGTATTTATTTTAGATTTGGTGTTCGAAAACAGCGCCTTCATTGTGTTATGCGTCTTATATGTAATTTTATAAAACCATTTTGATATTATTTCTTACCTCTTTGTGGAAAATTGTGTCACTTAACTCTAATGCTCTTATAGCCATATTTTTGGCTGTGTTACTTATTACATGGTGGGGGTGTTTTGAATTGAAGTTTATAATTCGTCCAGAGGCTGTTGGTTTTTGATACCATATTGTCATTATACGATTATTATATCGTAATAAATGAATGTCCAAATATGGTAATTGGTTATGTTTTTCTTCTTCTATGGTGAATTTGATACTTTTGTGTAAGTCATTGAAAATTTTTAAAGTATCATTGATGCTATCTATTCTTACAATCCCAAAGAGGTCGTCTACATATTTAGTTAAAAGCCTCAATTTTATTTCCATTCTTTCCATGCATTGGTCTAGTAGTTCCTCCATTACAATATCTGCAATAATTGGTGACGCTGAAGAACCCATAAAGTAGTTGTTGTCTGTGAGACAAAAATTTAGTATTTCAAAAAACAACGATTTTTTTATTTTTGTAAATTGTCTTATTTCGTTCCATTTAGTTTCTAAAAGTTTTACCGCTAAATCTAGTGGTATGCTGGGAAATAGAGATACGACATCAAATGATATCATTTTCTCATCATCATAAATATAGGTATTGTTAATTTTTTGTTTAAATTCAAGTGCGTCTTTAATACTGTAGTTTGATTTTTTTGTTAAATTTTTAAGAATGTGTCATAAATTGACACAGTTTGTATGAAGGTGAATTTATAGATGAGCATATAGGTCTAAGTGGCATATTTTCTTTATGGATTTTAGGTTATCCATATAGTATATTTATTATTATTATTATTATTATTATTATTATTATTATTATTATTATTATTATTATTATTATTATTATTATTATATATTATTATTATTATTTTATTTATTATCATTATTATTATTATTATTAGTTATTCATCTCACTTCATGACTATTCGGGCATTATTATTAAAATTACACTTATAAATTTGTGATTAAACTGTTTAATCTGTATTTGTAGTTAAAAAAAACATACAATTTTTTTATCAAAATTCTTATAAAAATTCAATATTACAATTACAATATTTCTTATGGTATAATATGTAAATATTTTATGTAATATATTAAATATTTTATTTCATTTATTAAATTTTTATTTAATTTTATTTTAATTTATGAACGATGACTATAAGTATAAGTTTAAGTAATTTGTTATTTAAAAAAACATCTAAATATAAACATCGTTAAATTCTAAATAACGATCTATGGTAAGCCCAGTAATTAAAAAACATACAAAATTGGTCGTAATAACAATTAATTAATAACCTAAATTTAAGATACAATACTCTGTATTCTAAATATGCTTTTCTTTGTTAAAACTTGTTATTAAAATAAAAGAATTTTAAATATTAATAACTTTGAACTAACAAAAATATGGAAATGATCAAATTTCTTGAAAAACAATGAAAATATGTACATTCTTTTATCATTTGTATGGTCTATTTATGGAAAATTTCTTAAGACATTTTACAGGTAGTGAATGAAATTCACTGCGGTTCTTTACTGATCTTTTCATTTTAACTACTGTACTTAATGACCTTTTTACTTTAGATATTATTTAGTATTAATATTAATAAACCAATAAACCTACAAAAAATGAATATGGCTGCAGATAAAATATTTTTAGATACCTTCATCGAATGTTAACAAAAATAATCGCTGTTTGTGGGATGTCCAAAGCTGTGAATATAAAGATCCCAAAAAAAAGACGCGGCATATATAAAATATACATGTTTAAATTTAGATGTTTTTTTAAATAACAAATTACTTATAGTCATCGTTTGTAAATTAAAATAAAATTAAATGATATATTTAATAAATTAAATAAAATATTTAATATATTACATAAAATATTTAATTGTATATTAATTTTTTATAAGAATTTTATATAAAAATTTATGTTTTTTTTAACTAAAATACAATTAAATATTTAACATAAATATATAAGTGTAATTTTAATAATATTAAATAAGCAGCGAGAGCTGCTCACCAAAATTTTGGTGAGCACGCCAACATGTTGTGAAAGGTGCAGACTATCATACCTGTGTATCATACAACGTTTTTCTCACTCGTATGACACACCAGTATGATAGTCTGCACCGCGCTTTAAGAACACAAACAAAATACATGCATTTACAAGGTTAATAACAACAACACACCAAAAGTGTAAAACTAAACGGTACAATGGTACAAGTGATCGAGCCGAGCCATTAATTTAATTATTATTATGAGGGTTTCGGTATTATGTATGTCAAAAAGAATTACAAATAAATTTTTTTTTTTTAATTTTTCTTATTAATTCTTATTTTTCAATTCTATAAAATATTTTTTAGAATTTTGTAATTATTTTAAATTTTCTAAAATCTTCTAAGGATAATCGAGTTCTTGCAGAACTGGAACAGCCCAGGACATCTAGTACAGGAATGCAAAATAGTTCCATATTGAATACATGCAATAGCGAATTTAAAACCATATCAAAGAATGGTAAGGGAAATCTTTTAATAAACAATATAATTTTAAATCAAAATTTTTATACAGAACTTGAAGAAGAACTGAACCGTTATAAACGTGCAGGTAACTCTTATAATTTATTTGAGGTGATTAACACATTATTTATTCTTCATTCTATTCAACAGTTTTTAGTGGTACAACAAGTTCAACACTTACAGGATACGGCGGTATATCACATGCTGGACTTTCAAATGGGGCTGGAGGAGTTTCTAGTGTTTCTGGAATCGGTGCAGGAACAAGCGGGATTGCTCCTACTGGACTTACATCCATATCGACTTTAGTACCAAGTTCAATTGGTGGCATATCGTCTAGTCTTAGTAGTCACGCCATACAATCTATAAACACATCTTCGTATGCAGGCGGCTGTACAGCAACTGCTGTGGGCAGTGGCGGTACTACAGTGGAGAAACTACTAAGTGGGTCTAGTGGGATAGCAGGCATCCAACCATTACCGATGAATATTATGAATCATACGATGCCATCAGCACTAAGTCAGGTAAAATATTTTCAATAATATCTTTAAGACCACATTAATTCACATACAAATAAAAAACTAAAGTTGGCAGGTTTACATGTTTGAAAATGATTAAAACTATTTTTATTTGAACGTTTTTATTGTGTTAGATCATAGTTTCCGAATCTTATATACAAGTATATTATTATGGATTTCAGATCATGATGTGTACACACTCTAAAATACATACATTTAATTTTTATAAGAATAAAGTGAATAATATTTATTTCCTAAATATATGTGTATAGTATAGTCCATAAAGGAGTGAAATTAAAGACACATACTCGATATCCCATTACATATTTCAATTAATATGAACTTGAACATTTGTAATATTTATTTCAAGTGTTTCAATGAACATGTGTTTAAAACTTTTTAAAGTTTCCGGACTATATAAAGCTTTCTATGTGTATGTTTATGAGTAAACATTATGATTCTGACAAGATACATTTTTTAAGTTAAAATATTTAACTTTATTATATTTATTTTTAATATATGAATTTGATATATATATTTATAAGACATTTTGCAAGTTCTGGTCTTATTCATCTGGCGAGAAATACGAACTTTTATCCAACCGAGCTTAATCTGACTTCTTCACGTCAGCGCATCTGATTAAATGATTAAAGTTAATTGTAGTGTGCCTAAATTATTTTGGGAATATCACATTTAAGGCATATTTATGGATTTTAAATAAAATATTTTAAATGAATTGATAAAATTAAATGAATTATTACAGTATTATTTTATTTAAACTAACAATTTGAGCCTTTAATGGATAAAAATATATTTATGAATAAAATATATTTCTTTTTTAAATGTTTGTTGATGGTTTACTTATATGCCTTTTCCTCTCTCATCATTTCATACACACATTTAAAATATCATTAATGGTGAAAATTTTTCAAAACTAAGTCGAAATTTTAATTTTTCTCTTCTTTTATGTGCTGTTGCCTCTTTTTCTATATAAAAATATCACATTTTAACTGATTCGTGTGCATATGTTCAATATAAAATGTATTTAAATGTATTTAAATGTATTTCACGTTTGAATTGTGATTAAATATATTACATAAAAAAAAACAAATAAATTACATAATAACAAAAACAATAAAAAGCGTGGAACAATACAACTGTACAATTTGCAGAGTACAACTATGCCAATATTATCACTGAACTCTCATAATATACCAACTGGTACCAACAGTTATTCAGCACTTGGACTAAGTGGTGGTACAGGAACAGCAGTTGTGCCTCCACTTGGTTCTTCTATGACGCATCCTACTATTGGGAATGTGCTTGACTCAAATTCACTGCTTGGCACCGGTCTATCTGGCCTAAGCGGCGTAACAGGATCATCATTATATGGCCTAGGAACTACCGTCGGCACTCTTTCAGGTGGACTGCCTAACGCATATGCTCCTCCATTTATAGAAGTGGGTTCAGGTCCCTCGTATCCGTTTTCAACTGTTGCTTTACGTAATGTTTCAAAAATGAAAATGCTAGATGAGATTGAATTGCCGCTCGCACGTTATGGTAATCGAAGTTCTCCTTGCTCACCAATTCCTCCATCAAGTTGGGCACTAGACGATTTTACGGATAGTATGAATGCATCTATATTACATAATCGTAGTGGGTTAGCGTTAGGAGCATTAGATTTAGAAAGTAAGATCATGCAATACTAATATCCGTAATTATATAAAATTATATTATGTTAAGATAAGATAAGTATTTGAAATATATATCATAATAACTTTCAGCAAGAAGCCATGCACTCAATGGAGCAAATGAGCCTCAAGTTGATATGCTGGATATACCAGGGAAAGGTCGATGCTGTGTTTTTATTGCAAGATTCCCTTATGATCCTCCAGAGTTAGTAAACATTGAATTCAATAATTTTGTAAAAAATTATTTTTATATTTGATATTAATAGAGAAGCAGAAGGAGAACTGTCCTTGTGTGCTGGTGATTATTTACTGGTGTGGACCAGTGGAGAACCACAAGGCGGTTATCTTGATGCCGAACTTTTAGATGGCAGACGTGGTTTAGTACCAGCATCTTTTGTTCAGCGTTTGATTGGTAAAATATTGTTTATATACTTGTAAATAAAACCTTACTATGCCTTGCAACTTTTTTATGTTTCAGGTGATGATCTTTTAGAATTCCATCAGGCAGTATTGTCTACACTACGAGATGCCGAAGATGGTTCTATGCAATGTGATACTACATCTTTACCTTCGTTACCTCCACATAATCCATTACTTACGCATACTCATGAAGATTTAGCTCGACTGAGTGAGACACACACAGATCTTGAACATGATCAAGATGATATAAGTGATAATGGTTTGTTTGTTTTGTAGCATTTTCATCTAAAAATTTATATTTTTCATTAAAATTTTTTTAAAATATTATTTTAATAGTTCCAGCGCCAAAACATTTGACTCTAGAGCGTCAACTTAATAAGAGTGTTTTGATCGGCTGGTCACCACCTGAGCCAGTTGGATATAATTTAATCGATAGCTATCATGTTTATGTAGACGGAGTTTTGAAGGTTACGGTTAAAGCTAATGAGAGAACACGAGCACTAATTGAAGGTGTCGATTCCAATAGGGTTTGTAAATGTAATGCTATTTAAGTATAGAGATTAAAAGTCTTGTTTTTAGCCACATCGAATAAGTGTAAGAAGTGTAACACAGAATCGTCAAACATCACGTGATGCAGCTTGTACTATGATCATTGGTCGTGATACTGCGCATTTGGGGCCGTCTGCTGTACGTGCATCTCATATTACGTGCTCATCAGCAGTTATATCATGGCTGCCGGCAAATTCGAACCACCAACATGTCGTTTGTGTAAATAATGTTGAAGTACGTACCGTAAAGCCGGGAGTTTATCGACATACCATCACAGGGTTATCACCAAGTACACAATATCGTGTTACTGTACGAGCAAAACACTTACGTGCTCCAGGAGGACAACCAACACCAGGCCGACCGCAAGAAGAAGCGCCGGGTGCTTATGCTGATTTCCGTACATTAACCAAAGGGTTGCCGGACCCTCCACAAGTGAGATAGAAAATTTTTATAAATTGAATTAAAATTTTACTAAGCATATGTCTTATTATATTTTATATGACATTTATAAATTAGTATAGAGTTTATTACCTACTAATATCGAGATTGAAGAAGATTGCACAACCACATTTAAAATAATATCTAAAAAGTGGGTTGATGAAATGGAAATAGAAGAGAAGAGAGTAGAAGAGTAAAATTATACATTATTTTTTATTGCAATATAAATTTAAATCAGTTCTGAAGAGTTTAACAATTTATTATCTTTCTCTTTAATTATTTTATTAAATAGTACATCATAGTTCTCTTTAAAAACGTACGACATAAGATTATGACATAATTTTCAAGTAATTTTTAAATTTTGCAAATAGTTTCATTGCAAACTCTTTTGATAATTCCTATTATATATTTGAGCAAAAAATGATACACACGATCCGATGATTTCGACAAGTTTTTACTTCACTTTATTTAATATAATAATGAATAAAAGGAATACAGAAAAATGACAGTTCTCTGACTTAAGGCCAGAGTTACCAGGCAATTAATATTTATTGTATAAAGAGTACTTTACATAACAACAATTCCAAATTATTTTAAATATTTGATAAGCAGAATTTAATATGGTGTTTACATTGGCCGAAAATGGCTCATTTTGTTTACGAGTGTTTACATTCGTTATAATTCGTTTGTTCTCATTTCAAACAGCTGATTTTTCAACTTGCCTGTGGATTTGATTTTTGGCCTGTGCCAAAAAAAATGTTGCATGAAAGTTAAATATGCCTTCAAACCTTACAATATAAACTTAAAACATATTTTTAACTTCGATTAATTACTTTTTGGGAAGTAGAAGTTCTAAAAAGCAGTGCATGATTTTCAAGAAAATGCAACCATCAAACATTTGTTTGCCTTTTTTTGTAAATATATTAGAAACAGCTTTCTCAAACTGTCAAAATGCCATGAAGAGCTTTTATTTAGGGTGTGTTCAATGTATTTTTTTTGTATTTGGAACATATTTCGAACGCATGCGAACGTCGTTCGGACTCATTCATACAGAATGTGATGGAATGACTCATTCGCGCTTGAAATCTTGTATGCAAGAATGAGCCATTCGCTTCTCATTTTCGATTTTTGATCAAACTGAGCCATTTTCGGCCAGTGTAAATGCCGTATAAGTTAGGTAATTTCTCAATTTATCAATTTTTGTAAAAGCATACAGCGACAATGAAAACCACACGATGATGTTCAAATAATGTTACTGTCCAGAAAGGCGCCAAAAAGTACCAAAAACGTGAAAGGCATACAAAGCATACACAATTGGTATACAAATTGTGCTAATAGCATATTTTTTCGCTTTATGTGTATACTGGTTAATGTGCAACAAGGATGTGCAGCGAATTGCTCACATTAGGGCTCTTCTTTTCTAAGCATATCGCAAAAGATCGACATAAAATAATTACTACCTTTGATGGCAACTCTGGAAGGACTGGATATTTTGTTAGGTTTATATATGTAAAACACGAAAAAAAATTTAAAGTAAAAGTTTTGAAAATGAATAATAATATCTTGCAGTTATGACTAAAAATATTTTTTTTTTAAGTGATTGCGAATAAAATTTTGTATTTTCAGGCGTTTTCAATGTTAACAGAAAAAAGTAGTAAATTAAAAAGAATTGAGTATTATTTGTCAAATATTTGTTGACATAACCGTTCACATTAGACGAATTTTTCGTCTAGTTATTTTAATAGTTAAGTGGTTTCAAAAAACCACTTATTATTTTTGAAATAAGCAGTTATTTTTTTATAATATGCTTACAAAAGAAAAAGCTTATTATAGTGTCAACAACAATGGACGTATTCTTTTGGCATAAATGTTCCAATAGAATAACGTCAGATTGTGTAAGAAAAACTTGGCTTCACTGCAAAAATCAATGAACATATGACAAGTAAAAAAATTTTAAACAAATTTGTGTTTGATGAATTTGTTTGTTTGATAAAACAAATGTTTATAAAATGAATGACAAAAAATTTATTGGTGAACATTTTATATTCTATTTGTATTTATGTATATTTATATGGTGGGACATTGGGACAGCGCACTGTCCAACAAGTGGCCCCACTGAAGTGAAGGATTAGTCGAAGTAGACCACGAAACGACTTGGGTCCTTTTTCGTCCTTCGATTCTCGGATGTTGTTATTGAGTTAAAGCTGGAGTGGCTTCGGTTCGCATAACTACATCTTTTGTTAATGCAAGCATCTCATTTAGCTTGAGGTTTCCTGCCAAGTCGTCACCAACCCAATGGTGTCCCAAGACAGTCTTCCTCCTACTTGCCAGTGCTGGATATTGGCACAATATATGCACCGCTGTCTCCTTTTCTTCTAGACATAGTCTGCAAGTGTCTTCCTCAGCAAGAGTTATCTTTTTGAGGTGATACTTGAAGTTGCGCCATGTCCAGTAATTAGTGAGGTCAGCCAGCTTAGAGTGCTCCGCGAATAGCTAAGCACTTTTATCGCTTCCCTGGCCACGGTTTAGGTAACATGAGTTGGTCTGTCTACAAGTGCTCAACTCTCTCCATATATTAAGATGAAGTGAGATTATCCACTTTTGGACATAGGCTGCCGTCATGCTGTACCCCAATGGTATTCTGGGCTCCGGGCCACAGAAATTATGGCTTGATCCTTGCTTTGCAAGTTCATCTGCCTTCTCGTTTTGCTCAATACCGATGTGTTCTTTAACCCACATGATCGTCATCTCATTTCCATGAGCACATTCCATGAGCTTCGTTACACATTCTTGTACTAAGCTGTTAGTTAAGTATGTCTTTTGCATGCTTTTGATAACTGCTTGGTTGTCCAGCGCTATCAGAATCTTTTTCTGATATACCTGACAATCCAATAGGTGATCCAGAGCACGTGAGACCGCCATAAGTTCCGCTTGATAGACGGAAGATTTAGCTCTTTCTAGTAAACCCCAGCACCAGCTCTGCCATCCATTAAGGAGCCATCGGTAAATATGCAAATGTCATTCCTTCCACATTCATTATGTAGAAGGCCGTCTACTATCAGTGTTCTGTAGGACACTTCTGCCCCATAAACCCTCCTCATAGTCGCCAATGGCATCTGCGTTTCCTTGACCGCGGCCTGGACGAGATCAAGAATCTTACGATGGCCCACTAATTTTCCGAAGTTGTTCCACGTGGAGCTCCGGTTCATGCGAATTGCTGCCAGTGCCGCCGTTTTCTTTATATGTAAATCCAACGGAAGCAAACCTAGCATCGCCTCTAATGCCGGTGTTGGTGTAGTTCGCATAGCGCCTGTTATTCCAACACAGGCTAGTCGTTGGACTCTATCTAACTTCGTCTTTATTGTCTTTTGGGTAACTTTACACCACCAGACAACTGACGCATATGTTATAATAGGTCTGACCATCATGGTATAGATCCAGTGCATCGATTTTGGGGATATCCCCCATCGTCTTCCGCACACTCTCTTACATTGAAATAGAGCTCTTTTCGCTTTCCTGATCTTTTCATCCACATGTTCATTCCAAGTCAGTTTATTATCTAGGATAACACCTAGATACTTCACCGACTTTGATATGCGAATGTTATTATCAAAAAGTTGTAAGGGCTCCATTGACAGACTTCTCTTCCTCGTGAAGAGGATAGTGTCTGATTTCGTGGCATTGATGGCCAGGCCTTGTTCCCTACACCATTTTTCGACGCATTTGAGAGCACCTCTCATCACGTTTCTAATGGTGTCTGGGAACTTGCCATTCACCATCAGTGCTGTATATATTTATGTATATAAAAGTATATATATTTTTTAGGCTTTGTTCGTGATAACGGATAAAAATAGTGAAATAAGGAGGATACAAAGAGCGCGGCACATTGACCAAATATTTGAAATTTTTGATAGCTCCACGTTTTTAGAAGGCAATACGAAATTGTCAATACGTTCGGTTATTTAATTTTCAAACTTCTAACATCACTAGCTAATGCTAAATAAGCAGTATGTAACACTGTTTTATATTTCTTGTAATACGCTTATAACTTTTTGCTTTTATTATAATGATTGTGTTCTGTATTTATTCATGTATTAAATTTTTTAATAAACATACCATAATACCGACACAACCACAACGGGCCTTTATTTGTGCTTAAGTGGGCTTTTTGGGATACAAGGCCGCCACTCCAACCTATACCTATACCATAATACCGAAATGATAAATTCCTTAATAAATAATAAAGGACTTCGTTCTTCGTCAGTTACCTTCACAATTACCATATATTAAAAAAATTACTTTTTTAAAACATTTAAATGTACTTTTGAACATTCGCAGTTATAAATAATAAACAAACTTCTCTATCATTTGACTAAAATTTTCCATTTTTTTCGAAAAATCATTCACAATATATCAGTTTTAAGATTTCGCAACATTAGGTCTTTTCGGTGGCTCCCAAGTATGGCAAAAAATGCAAAAAATGCTCGCCTATATTGGCTACGCATCACTGTTGCAATCTGTCAAGTGTTATGTTTTGACAAATAGCAAAAGTAACATATCGCAAGCAAATTATGTTTTGTATAAAAATAAATAATTAACATAGATTGAAAATTCAAATGAATACAAAATTAAGAGGAATGGGAAAAATGTTGAAAATTTCAAAATAAATAAAATAAAATTTTCCTTTTTCCCACATCTTCATATTTATGAAATTTTTGAATTTTATTTGAATTTTTGTTTACATATAATTTTTGACATTAGATTGCAATATTGTTGAAATTTCTAATGAAGCTTCACAATAGTTCGCTTATTGTGTTGGTAACATTTGGCCAGTATTGGCCAGTATTCCTATACTGGCCGAGGTAAAGAAAATTGTATTATTGTTTTGCGTATATTTCGGCCAGAATAGGCCAGCAACTTGCTGTTTTTTGCCGTAAAGTCCTATCGCAATGTGAGTGACTTATTCGTTAAGCAGTTTCAGGAAAGTGGGCTTATTTTTGCGAATTTTGTTTTTGTTGTGCAGATTATTTTTCAAGCAACACGTGTTCTATTCAATCATTTATGTCAAAAGAACACACCTCATATTCACTATGTTACTTGAATGTTATCTTGCTTACAACAACTGGAAATCGTGCGATTCCAGCTCTTTCTTCTCTTTCGTGCGATTTCAGCTTGTTACATTACCAGAGTTCGTATTTGCGT